CGTAAACATCAACAATAACAGAGCTCGTGCCCTGTTTACAAAGACTGTGTACATAACACGAGGGTAATCGATTTGCTAAACTTGTACACAACACTCAGCTCGGAATGACGATACTTGTGAAGGAGTTTTTCTTTCTAACATTTCTACTCTGAATAAAATTATTTTTCTGGATTAAAGTTTTAATATTTCTCATTAACACACAGCAAGATTGCCACTTTTCCTAAGTATTAAGAATAAAAGTAAAATTTGTGGATGTGTCAATCAAACCCGCCAAAAACTTTGAAGTTTTAATAACTTTTAAATGAAATAAGATTTTAAATTAGTTTTTGTGTGAAATGCTATATTAAAATATATAATTCGTGATATTATACAGAAAATATTAACTTCAAATCTGTGTCCAAGTACCTTTAAAATAAAGGGTATTCTCGTTAGAATAATTTACATGTAACAGCTAGTGATATAAAATATTGTTGCAAAGCAACGTTATCTCTATCTACTTACATGTATGTAGTGCGAATTATATAAGTTACCTAATTAAAGTGAAATGGACAAAGTTTCACATTTATTATTCCATCTTTATGATTACAAATACTTAACTCAGGTATGAAAAATTTGAATTTCATTTATCGAAATACAAGAAAGATTCATAACTTCAAACCTTTGTTATGTAAACAAAGCCCTAGTCATGTATTTTTTACATACCCGGTATTTCAGATATACTTATTACCGGGTATATGTTCGTTAATACTTAGTTTTTCAAAGAAGAAATTAATTCTAAATACGAAATGACACTTTTTATTGATTTGCTAAATCTAGTTTTGTAATCAATATGATTTTTCCTATATCGTAACAAAAACAAGGCTAGTGCCTTGTTTACATTATAAAGAATATTAAGGTGGATGTACAAGCCATATTTGATCTAGTCTGGTGTAAAATAAGAAATACCAAGGATGCGCTTAATACTTTACCAAACTAGCCCAAAGTTGCTCAAAGTACCAATGCACTCATTACCTACTGTTAGATACCAAAATTAGTAAATATTTAAGTTTATTTTGCTTTAATTAGGAGGAAATTAATCATGTAAGAACTGCGCAGCTACAGCATTCACGAAATGAAAATTGTATTGAAAATGATGTCAGTTCGGTTCATTGTTAAAATAGCTACAACCATTTGTTTCGCTTTTTTCTTGTCATTATCCATAATTCTTGAAAATGTTATTTTTTTCATATGGGGGTCTTCCTGAGGCCATGTGTTCCTTACGTCCGCCATTCCTCTGTCACACCGAATTCAAATAACATTGATTTTAGAATAAATGCTACCATAACAACCTCAAGACAAGAAATTATTAAGTAATAATCCTTAGGTTATATAACTTACTACTTTTATTTGTAACATCGCATCGTCTGATTAATGGAAAAACGCTATTTTAACCCCACTTCAGCAAATCGGTAAAAACTGTTCTGTTTATAGCTCGAGTTTCCTCGATCATATCATTCCACTGCGCACGTGGGTGACATTTGCATATATCTGCTGTGGATAGATGTGTTCATTACCATGATTGTATTTAATTTTTCATGGAACAAGTATTGATAATTTGTTGGTTTCTTTAAAACTCAAGAAAAAGATTAAAATTGTCCTAAAGATATGTGTTTACGAAGGGTCTCTTTTCTGTGGCGATAGAAGTTATTTTTAAATGAGGCTCTGCAAGGAGGATGCTTAGCTTTTAATATGAAAATGTTAAACAATATGCGGTGCATAAAAAACAAATTGTGATTACATGTATAACATTTGAAAAGTTGGAACATATGTCAATTTTGTTTAGCAGTTAGATAGAAAAAATAGTCAGTTATAGGATTTCCTTCCGGCACCTCACATAAATAGCTAGATTGTTTGCAATGACCCATACATTGTATGGAGTACTGTTTGGACATTAAAACACATCATGTCTCATTATGTTGACAAAGTTGTAAGCTCCCACCAACATACGAAGTTTGCTAAAATATATTGAGTTGTTTCTTTGAAATTTAGAAGAGAGCACCATCTTTGCAAAGAAAGGTCCATTGCCTACATGTTATATCTATCTTCGCAAACAAAATGTGGGAGGCTACCCCCCCCCCTCCGAAAATTCTATGTTTGTTTTTCAAAATAGTGCCAAAGCTTCAGAAATTTTGCATCACTAAGTATGTGATGGACCATCTTCTAGCCATACCATGGGCGTCGGAAGCAAATTGAAAGTGGTGGGGCTAATCGAAAGTGGGGGGGGGGGGGGCTAAACCAACAAAAAAAGGTAAATCCCAATTTTCAATGCCTATATAATGTCTATTTTTGCAAAAAAAAGTGGGGGGGGGGCTAAGCTCCCCCCCCCTAGCCTCCCCTCCCCCCCCCCCCCCGCCCCGGTTCCGACGCCTAGACTTATTTTGTTAAGACCACTTTATAAAAAAATATTTGTTTGCCCTCTCTCCCGACCTACTGCCCAGAAATGGCCCGACTCAATTTTTTTTTACATCCCATTACACGATATTTTTTTCTTTTTATTCCGTCAACAAATATGTTTAAATTTTAAGGAAAAATGTTCTCATCTATAAATACGGACACGATAATTTTTCTCTGAGTTGGGAGGACCACCACACGTCATTTTAAAGATAGTCTAAAATATTTAATTCTGTTGATTTTTTTCTTTACTCTGTAAAATTATAATTTTGACAACATGGGCAAATAGAAAAAAGTTTTTTTTTTATAATTATACAAAATTTCTCACTCCACTATTAATGATTTCATTCCTTTTCAAATGGTGCTCCGATGTGATAATTGTAAATGTGTACAGTGTATTTGAAACAGTGTTTTAGCAGGTACATACTAAAACAAGGTCATTCATATCGATTTTATGTGTCTAATTTTTTTTTGTGTTTCATTGGTGATAATTAAGATTCTGATAGATAAAATAAATTATCTGTGTCAGACTTACAAACTCTTAATTTTTAACTTTGAAGTTGCTCATTTTTCCTTACCTGGATTCAAAGAGTTTAAGGTTGTTTTTTTTTTTATATCAACACGTACACTATTTAACAACCGTTCAATAATAATACATGTACTAAGTACTTTAAGCCACACTATAACACAATTCCTCTTTTAAAAGTTTTCATATTATTTGAAACATTTTGCAATTGTTATTCTCTTCTACTTTTTAAGATTGTTATGTACTTCCATATTAAGAAGAGGTCTGGGAAAAAAATGCTGTGCTAAAAATAGACCACGTGCTGCTATCCATGAACTACTTTCATGGTTCTTGACACTCATTTTGAAGACTACCTAGTTTTGAATATGAAATTACCATTTGAAAGTGCAAAATTTAGACATTTTCTTAACAAATGGTTGTAGAGAGAACATTAATGCACACTTTGCATATTTTTTTGGATTTTTTAAGGCTCTGCTGAATTCTGTAGCTGCGCAGTTCTAAGGAGCATATTAAAAGCATTTTTCTGCAAAAGTATATATTTTATATGCACAACATGCATTCAATTATGCATATTTGTTGTATCTTTAATATAAGGACTTAAAATTTGATCAAAATATAATGTATTTTAGCCATTTAAAGAAATGTTTACATTTTGTTCTTACTGCACTGAAGGTGGCCGGACATCCCCCTTAAGTTCTGCATTTCCTTAGAAAATCAACAAATTATGTTCAAATTGTTGCTGATCATTTGATTACCTTAATTAAGAATTCAAACATTAAAATGGTTAAAAAAAATCAGTAGAAACTGTGTTCATGTCCCTTTAAAGGAAAAGTTCACAAATGGCACGGGATCCTAAAAAAATAAAAAAATAAAAAAAATTAATGTTAAGACTGAAGCATAAATGTTATGGAATTTGTCCAAACATTTTTATATTTAATAAATTGCAGTGGAATACATTGATTTGCAAACTCCATCGCTGAAACCTTATTTGATTTTTTAACAAAAGAATCTTTTCGCTGATTTGAAAAGAAATTTAACTTTTTACACCAGATTAGTTTAAATATCAGAACTTTTATTTTAACAAAATAAATATACAAAGGTCTGTACATGTTAACAAGGTAAAAAAACATTTTATTTTTAATGTAAATCAGCTGTCGATTACGAAAAAAAAAACCCTGGACTCACGATTTAAACACTTACATAAGGTGTTTTAAAGTCGTAGGTTTTAATATTATTAAAGTATCACAATAAGCTAAAATCATGTGATTCTTTTAAGATATTTGTAGCATACAGAGAAAGAGCTATGAAAAACAGAAATTTTAGCGAGGATTCAATATTTGACTTTTTAGGGAAGTTGTTGAGGTCGCTAAAAACAAATATCACTAACAATTAATTTTCTTCCATATAAGACGTTATAATTGTTCTTTTTCTATGCATTAGGTATAGCGGTTTTATCTCACTGTATTAAAAACATTCAACTTCTTTTATCAAAAAGGTTTGAAGGATAAGGGATAGGGCTTCCATACTTCACATATGTATTTTTTGTGGCAACACCTTTCATTGGATACCAATAACCTTGATCTTTTGACCTTGGCCTTGGAGATTTCTGTACTTATGAAAAAAATTTAACCTAGGCCTACTTTCATATTTTTACAATTGTATTTCAAGTGAGAATACCCTACTTAGGTACCAATATATTAAATTTGCATTCAAGAAAAGTTAGTCTTCGCTATGTTGCCATACGGGGGCATCAGTGTTTCACAAACACATCTTGTTCTTAAATGATACACTATAACGTTCTCTTGTTATTTGTTCAGTATTTTTTGTGTTCAAGTTTTATTTTTTAAATCACATAATGAAATCATTTTAGCAGTAAAGTGAATTTTACTTCATTGCAGATTTGACGGCCAAAATCAAAAAGGCAAACCTGACTGAATTTGAAATAATATTTATACATTTATTTGTGAACGTTTAATGTGAGAATATATAGTTTATAAAACTGTGATTTAGGCGTGAAAGCCATTGACAACAATTTCTCTTAAACTCAAAGCGTTTTTGCCGCCGATTGCATTAGTGTCGTCTGTTATGTAGTTAGGACGGACTATTTTCACGGTGACACACGACGCATTTAGAAGGGGTCTGGTTTCACACTCTATGGTGTGGATTTCTCCAGTTTGACTCGGTCCAAGGAATGTGCCACACATGTTCATCTCGGACCAAACGGAAGAGAGTCCAGCTCTTATCTCAACACTATGTAGCCAGCGACCTGAAAAAAAAACCAAAAGTTGAAACACTCATGTCTGAAACGTAAAACATCACATATCAGACTAAAATGTCTATATATAGTGGTTTGACTGATCTTATAGTTTCAATTCTCAATATTTAACTCTTGCACTCTGATTTTTAAAAAAAAGAAAATACGAGGTCTGCTTGGAAATCATTGAGAAATTACTTTATACTTCATAAAGTACATTCTGGATAAATTCAAAGAAAAAAAACTCGAACATTTTATGAAGAACAAATTAAACATGTTAAACAAATGTGCAAAATTTCTAATTAATAGGATGATAAAGCCCCAGGGGTCATTATTTTACATGTGTGTCGTATAAGAAGTTGACTCCAGTTGAAAAATGACCCCTTTTAGGGTGATACAAGAAATACAATTTTAAATTGATGCATCAAATCGGCCTCTAAAGTAGTTCATTTTAGCATTTAAAAAAAAATTCACAACGAATCTATAGGAAAAATTAAAAAAAAAAATACATGTACCATGCATGGTACA